AGAGGAGGCTTTTAGGGAGTCTTGGAGGAAAACCAATTTTCAAGGGTTTTTTGTCTCTTGAATCTAAAGCATAGGAACCGGGAAGAAGATACTAGTTTTGTGTAGAGGTGTGGGAACACTGCAATGGGAGTGGGGAGTAAGTTTACCAGTGAACAATGCCCAGTTCCTCTATGTTACTCTTGCCTATTCCTGAAGCTGGGTGAACCCTCAATGCCTAACGCACGTAATTCATTGGTGAAGGAAAAACAAATTCCCCAGGAACATTGTTCAGGGTTTATTTCCCCTCAGCTCGGCCTTGCAGCAATTTCTGTCTCCTTAAAGTGCAGTTGCCAAATGACTCCTGCTTGACTCAAGGGTTTAGGGGACCAATTTCAAGCAGTTGTAAGGAATACCACTAGTTTGGCACTCACTAGAGCTAAATTTATTCAGTAGTTGGGTACATTCAGAAGCAGATAAGAACAGAGGCTTGAAGAATTACCCGCATATCTTCTACCCACATCTCGCTTGGCCATATCATTTGTGTGTTGCTTTTTCCCTTATCTCCTGACTGATTATATAGAATCTCAGATCCCTGCAGCTCTGAACACAGCAGATAAAGCCAGCTCTAGGACTTGGCACCTTCTCATTTTGAGCAGTGTGAGTGCTGGTGGGTCTCACTAATGCTAATCAAACAGCATGAAAAGTCCTAGGCTCTGCTTGCTCGCTGCTCTGCCCCAGAGCATGGCTGGGGAAAGGCACATCCCTGCCACGCTGCAATTAGAGCATTTGCTTATCTTAGCTGTAACAGAGCCATAAACTTTATCCAGGCCAATTAAATCAGATATGCAGTAAGCACACAGTTTGCATTAATGTGGGTTCTTTCTTTCCTTATGTAAGTGCAGGGAATTCGAGGCAGCCTGTGGCTGGGTCTCTTTTTGTTAAAGTTAGCTCACTCATCACAGAGATGTGCCGAGAGGCAAATGTATTGGAAAGCTGCTTTGCCCTCAGCTTTTCTGAAGCATGTTCTGAGCATCAAAAGAGCTATTGAAAATCCTTAGATAGAAACAAAAAGTTCCCTAGATTTCTGGGAAGCACCCGGCCTGCTGGGATTTTTCTCTCTAAACCTTCTCATTTCAACTGCCCTATTCACTTGGGAAAACCCAGGTTGATCTTTAATTGAAAGATCACCATTGCCTTACAGGATGCAAAAAGCTTTGTAGGCAAAGATAGGGCTGATGTCTCAACTCTGGCTTGCCATCCCCAGTCTGATGGGGCTGAAGGGCAAAGGGGGACTAACACACCCAAACAGGGAGAGAAACAAGAGGTGCTGGTGCTGAAACAAGGGATGCATCATTTTTTCTCCTTCTTCTCCCTCCAGGACATACAACCTCACCTTCCTGCATCCGTACTACCGGACCGATGAAGCGGAGGAGAACCCGTTCATCTGCTCATCGCATCGTGAAAACGGCATGCAGAAGTGCTCCAACATCCCAACCAGGAAGGAGTACAAGGTGGAGTGCACCTTGAGCATGGACTCCTACACCCCAAGTTTATACAACCCTGACTTCAGCAGCAGGAATTACACCCCCTGCCATGCATACATTGTAATACTGGAACCAGTATTACAATGTATGCATGGCAGGGGATGTAAACCCACACAACGGAGCTATCAATTTTGATAACATTGGATATGCCTGGATAGCTATTTTTCAGGTAGGATTCTCTTAAAGATTTTTCTGTTTCTTTTTGGTTTACCTTTTGCTTGGGAAGATTTTGATAGATGCATCAGAGGAGAAAGGAATTTACTTGCACCTGCATGAAACTGCAGATAAAGATACATCAAGTGAACGAATCGGACAGTAACCTGCACAAATGTTGCAAGAGCATTTGGACAGAATAGACATTTTTCCAGTGCATTTTAGAAGAGGTGGAAAATACTTCTTGAGGCAGACAAAAGTATGGCAAGTTCTAGCCCTGCAAATGAGATCTAAATAAATCCCAGGGGTTTTTGAGAGTTAGGGTCTTTATTGCTGTAGTATTGGGAAATGGAGAGTGGTGTTAAAGTCCTTAAGCAAGACTTAAGTTCAGTCTAAAGCTTGATAGCATGGTTTGAGCTCAGTTCTAGAATTACAGGGTTATACTGGTTAGCATGGTATGCTGGAGGGAAGAGGAACTGTGTTCTGGCTAGAAAACCTGTGCGGAAATACTACTGACATGGAATTTGAGTCCCCCTTAATGCACACCTACACAGCTCTTCACTAGAGACCAAAGTGCTTCTAGCTCAGGCTGGGGGAGCCTTTACTCCAGCAACTGAAGCATTTCCAAAGCTCTGGAACACTGTGTAGCTCATCTACACAGTCCAGAGGCTGTGGTCTCTTAGGGCTGGCCTATTTTAAATGATCCATGGACTGATTTCCATTTTTAAATTGAAACTTGAATTGCACTGTCTGGTTTTAATACAAATTTCTTTATGCTTTTGGCTCGATGCCCTGTTTTGTTTAGTCTTCCTGAAGTGTAGGTGACATCCTAAAAGAGAAAAAAAATTCTCCTTTAGTTCTGTTAATGATGAATAATTACTCATTCAGAGCTCTACGTTTCATTTATGACTTACCTTCTAGTTTCATATTATAATACAATCTTCACTTCCATTTTCATCTGGGAGTTGTAAAGGGTGATTGCTTGCTCTGAGCATCATGTCTGCTCTCACGCTGTCACAGTAGCTCACCTTGAATCACACTGGTGCTGGTGTCAGAGGCTTAAAACCAAATCCAGAAGGGTTCAGGCAGATCCCAAGCCTCTACCAGGGTATGTTTCTTAAAATGCTTTAGTTCTTTCCTGGAATTAGTATGTCAAGAGAGGAGCTGCCATAGTAATTGTGAGTATTCCTGACTGGTAGTGAGTGTTGCATAAAGGAAAGAGGGAGATCAAAGTGAGGATGGTGGATAGGTCTCTGTCTCCACTTGCATTCTCCTTTTTCTGCTCTTGCATAGTTCTTTGGTGGAGCTTGATGGATGTGCCCAGGAGGTCCCGCCTGGCTCCCACCGCGGAGCAGCAATGTTCTTGCCAGAGGAAGGGCAGAGGGCAGTGCTTTGCAGAGTGCCTGTGCTAGTGCACTGAAAATGAGCAGGTGCTTCCCGAGGGGTCCTGCTTCCTTTGTACTTCCAAAGCCTTTTTGCAGGCAGCAAGTTTTAATTTCTTGTTGGTATTTCAATTTCTCAGCCTGGAAATGTACAGTTTTAACCCAGGAAGAACACACCAGCCACCACAGACGTTTCAACTGATTCCTTTGGGCAGAGCAGGGTTTCTGGCAAAGTTGGATATTGTATCCATAGATCATTTTGGCAGCTGCTAGGAGGTTTGTGATTGGTTTTAGTGCTGCTTAGGCCATCCAAATGCTAAAGGGTATTTCCAACCAAAAACTCTTCTTACATCCTTATTCCTTTTAGAAATGAGGACTTGCTCTTAGAAGCTGAAAACTATGTAACTCCAGATAAAGAAGCAGCTGTTGGGAGGAAGGTGGTTGCTTGACTTTGATATGGAAGGAGTGAATCATTACAGTAAGAAGTGAGATGCTAAATCAAAACAATTGCTGTAAGCAGAGAACATTTAACAAATACAACGATTGAGCTGTGCTCTCATTAAATTTAATAGTTGAAGCTGGGTAGTGCCGGGTCAGCAGTTAGATGAGGCCTCAAAGTAAGTAGTGCAGAAAGTAGAACTGATGGGGTTTAGTACCTCGGGAGCTTCCTTGTGAATTGGTATTGAATTACTGGGTAGAAAGCACTCTGCTGTGTTCTGGGTGAGACGGGTCCAATCGTCCTGATCTTTTCTGGGGAGTAATGAATACGTGGTACTTTGCAAGAGTTACAATGCTGGACTGAACCTCAAGGTCTGGCAAGCCTCCAGTTTGCATAATGGTAATCTTAGGACTCAGCTGGATCAAGCATCCCTCATGATTTATCCCAGATGAGTTGGAAATGTAGCATGGTTTAAGAGCTGTCAGGAGGGAGGTCGGTGAAATGAGCCCCACAGGTGAGATTTGGAAGGATGTTTCCAAGTGCAGTGACTGCAAGTTGTGCCCAAGAGTTTCCAAGGGCACAGTTTGATACCATGCAGACTGTGAACAAACAAAACCACAAGCAGGCTTTGACAGGGAAATCTGAAGATCTCCAAAACATCCTTGTGAATGGTGCACTAAAGCACGAGGCTAGCAGTATGGCCAAGCTCTTTCAGCTGCCAGAGTTTGAATTTAAGCAGCAGCCAAGCTGAAAGACATTTAACTTCATGGTAGTGATCTTGAACTTGCAAGTAACCTGGCACGTGGCAATGGGGTGTACCAAGCAGAGAAATGCATTGTTGACCTTCTAAGTAGAAGAGAATGTCAGAAGTTGTCAGCCAGGAGAACCAACCAAGTGCAACTAAAAAACCTTAAAGTAATAAAGATGATGCTGCATCTATGGGTGTTTGAAAGGATAATCATTCCTTATGTAATCCTGCGAATGATTCATGTTTTGATTCCCCTCATTTGTTGTGTAATAGACTAATTCATGTATATATTTGTTACAAAGGCACGTTCAATGGCAAATTACGTGAACTAATTAGCTTATTACAGAATAAATGAAAGGAGATGGAACCTAAATTAACTGTGAGGTTTGGCATGATATTAAGTTCCCTTTATTGCACATGAATTTCAGCCGCAACAATAAGAGCAGTAATTACAGGTATTGTTGTCACACTGCAAATGATGAATTACCCACCTAAGCAAAGTCCAATTTAATTTGAATTACTGACAGGCTCAGTGGAACAACCAAAACATTGCCACCTTCCTAACTGTTAGTGTTGCGTGGCCAGGCCTGAAAGCAGAAACCCTGTTAAAACAGAAGGGGGTTGGATTGGGTGGTAACATACACAGTTTGAGGATGAGATTATTTAGGCTACTTTGCAACCCACAGAACCACAGCCTGGATGAGTTTAAGTCTGACTTGCAGAAAAGCAAGGTTTATGCTAGCACTTTGTATGAGGAGGCAATGCTTTTAGCAAAACTTGTGAGGCAAATTTGAAGGAGCACTAACTGAGGCAGAACCAAGATGAGATCAAGGGAACAAGCTGTTCCTCTGTGCCTCCTTCCAGGATATAGTTGGAAGGACTGAACTTTGAGAGCAAATATACAGGGGAAAAAACCTACATGTCCCTGCAATACAAGAGAGAAGTCTTGCTCGTGCTGGCTGAGTTACCTTTCCTATGGCCTCTTCTTCACATGTATTTCAGAAGTAGTTGTGTTTTCAGAGGGGTTTCCTTAATGAAAGAGCCTCTTGAAATTAGTCCTTGGATGCAGCTCTTGATTCATGATTCTGTTTCTATTGTATGTTTTCTGAGTTCCTATTGCTTTTCTGAGGCTTTGCTTAAGAAGACATCTCAGTTAACAAGTTAATCAAGTCATACAAGTAATACATCTCCAGCCCATCATCAGAAGGCTCTGGCAAGGGAATCCTCAGAGGAGACTTCTGCCTTCAGCAGCCCCCTTTCTGCTGTCAAGGAATAAAATACCAAAACAGGTTTCGTTCATGAGAGCTGAAGACAGCCCAGCAGGCACACAACATGATAAGAATGCCCAAGAACAGAAAAGCTGAATCACTTTCTGAAGGAAGATGCCTGGAAATAGAGCAGCATTAAAGGAACTCTAAGCAGCAGCAAGAGTTCAAGGCGTTATCTTGATAGTGTGCTTATGCGGAGAACTCCTCTTTGCTCCTGGTCTCACCAAGGAGTGTGCTATAGCCATGAAGGTGTGGGTGAGCAGCTCAGGAGACAAAACAAGGTGAGGTAGGAAAGTAGGGGAATTGATGCCACCCACTTCTTCCTTCATTTGTCCTTCTGCAGATGGCAGGCTGCCTGAGCAGGTGACAGTTGGCAGTGACAGCCGTATGCTTCCAGCTGCCTGCCGAAATACCCCTTTCATTTGGATGTGAAGATACCTCTGCCTTGCTTTAGCTTGTCAAAAAAGCCCCTGGGAGCTTGTGTGTGCTATCTAAATCCAATGAAGGATTTATTCATCTTGACCCTGTGCTGTGTGCTGAAGAGGAACTTGTTTTGCGTCTGTGTTGCTGACACTGCTTCTGCCAGGATCTGCACCCTTGCGCCTGGGTCAGCTGAGGAGGTACCAGGCTCAGGGGGAGACTTCAGGTTTGGAGAGAGGAGGGTTCATTTGTTTCATTTCACTATTGTTTGGTGCCCTGATCTGTTCCACAGCCATTGCCCACATTGTTTCAGCCTCTGCTCATCATGATTGAAATCCTTCCCTGCGGTTTTGTCCCTTGCCTGGAAATCTTTCAGCTGAATCTGTGATGGGAAACGTATCTTCATTTAAATTAAAGGAAAAATTATATGCACTTTAATGCACTTCTGCTATTGTCAAATACAAGAATGAGTTTGGACTCCCTCCTGTTCTATACTATCACTCAGTCAAGAAATGATCTCATTAGAGGAGACAAGACCTGAAGCTCCAACATTGCTTTCCTGTAGACTAAGCACAAATCTCTGCAGGGTCATCCCGTTTAGTTCCTACTTGCACATCTTCCTCATAGCTGGGCTGTCACTCAGATATTAATATGGGTCTTTTGGGAGATCCTTTTTTCTTGCTTTGTTGCTGGGACCTCAGGGTACCTCAACCAAGTTCCTTACAAAATGACAGCTCAGGAATGATTACCCCAAGAGTA